GTATAAAAAGCATCGATCGATCGATGCGGGTTCTATATTTACCTAGGCGTGCGCATAACTCATGCTTATCCCCTCCTCGGTTCAAATTTTCATTATAATACCCTCAGAAACCCCCCGCTTCAGTTTCTTTCCCCCCCTCGGAATGCCAAGGTGTGGTCCTGCGGCCTCCTGAGAAATTGACGATGCACCGCAGACCACAGCGGACGACGAACCTCATATTATATTGGTGTTTCGAATCTTGAACTTCCCTTCGACTTCTTCGCGGCTGACAAAGTTGATTAATGGCTCACCACACACACCCATACACTCGCACACTGTTGGTCTTTTGTTAATGGCTGCTCGAGAGTAATTTGAGAAAATGGTGGCTGATGCTGCCTGCCCTGATCCCCTTCCAGATGAAAAGTCTTTTGTCAACGACAGGTTTTTATTTCCCCCATTGTTGGGCTCTTTCAAGTTTGTTTCTTTTCAGAACTATTACATGGGAAGCTCTGTCGGAGGAACTCCAATTACCTGAATTGCTTCATTAGGAGAGGGAGAGGGAGAGGGAGAGGGTCGAGGGAACGGAAGGATTCCCACAAAAGCCAACAACTGGAATAACGAGTTCCTTGAGGGTAGGATTCTTAAGATACAATAGGCCTACGGTTTTTCTTTATTCCCTAAGTGAAAAAGGGGAAATTTTCCTTGAAACTATGGCGTTGGAGAAGTCAAACCCATAAATTTTAGACAATCCTCGAAATTAAAACATCAAAACAATGAAAACTGGAATCACAAATTTATCCAGATAAGATCTTAAAAATAAAATTAAAAAGTTCATGTTTCGAATTTCAGATCTCAAATCGGTTGAGATAGCATCTCCTAATAAAAATATTAACTTAAGTAGCCAGTCGAATAAAAATAAGATAAGCTAAAGAAATAAACTCCCCTCCAAGTACTCCTTAGTCCTAAAGAAATGCCATTACCTCGTTACCGCTCGCATTAGCCAATGATTATGGGGCATCAAAGAGCAGCGAGTGCATCGTAAACACTCTAATCTCGGCAATTAGTTTGAAGAAACAATAAATTTAGCCGCGAGAATGGCACAAAAGAGTGCATTAACCGACACCGGTAGCGACTTGTTTAAGTCCGCGATTAAATTAATATTAACTACTCTCTGTCTTCAAATTTATCGCAACAGGAAGGTGGCGGGGAAATGGCAGCAGTCACGCATTGCACGCGATGCCCAGAATGGAAAATGGTGAAAATGTCGCACGCCAGAGTCGGGTTCTAAATAAAACTTTTGTGTAAATTAAATATTTAAGTTAATGGAAATGGCTGAAGTTTGCCTAGTGGTGGGTGGGGTGGTTCTCACATGTATGCACTGGGAAAAACTAAGCTGTATTTCTAAAAATTAAAAGTATAAACAAAGAGATGGCAGAACATCTTTCTAACAAAAGGAATACTTTCTATTAATTGTACTCAAGGGAGTATATTTTCTCCTCTATGTTTCTGGCCGTGTGACATGTTAGGGGCGAATAAACTTTGATTAAGCGACTGTGGGTTCGGGGGGGATCGAGTCGGCAATTGTCTGTGGAACGTGTGCGCTTTTAATTTGATTTTGTCTGGGCCAAATTTACATGTCTGCCTGCCCATTCCCAGTGCCCAAAAAGCGCGCCAGTCTGGCTGCCATTTTGTCCTTGTCTGTGGTTCTGTCAGCCTGACAGCCTGACAGCCTGTCGCCTGTCCTGGCCCCCTCCCCGCGCCTGATCCTTGTAATCCAAACCCCTTTTTTGCCAATTTGCGCCACTTGGGCATTAAAACCGCAGATTAACAGCCGCACGGGGTAGTTAAAAAAAAGCAACAACAACATAGCACTCCGAGAAACGTGTCATTTCGAATTTTCCGCTGCCGCAGGGCGAAATGAAAAAACCGAAAAAAAATTAAAACAACGACAGAAAACGTGCCGATAACACGGTGTCGCATACAGCCCCCTCAGTCCCCTGCCCCCTTCCGATGAGAGGGAGATAGCGGTGTGGAAAGAGAGGGGGACAGAGAAGAGCAAATGTAAATATAAAAAAAGAGAGGAAAACAGAAAACAGAAAGCAGAGAACAGAAAACAGAAAACACAGGGAATCGGAAATTAAACAAAACCGAAACGAAATGGAATTCGCTTATCGCGCCTCATAAATTAACCCTTGCCAGCCGTCGTCCATGTTCCGAGAGAGAGATAGCCATACAGATGCAGACAGAGAGGGATGCTAAGTGAGAGGGGTGGTGGTGGTGGGTGTGCTGAGGGATCTTAACCCCACGGCGAGATCAACGTTTATCTGCGAGATGGCGGATCTTCGCGCCCTCAGAAACCACTGCCAATGACATTGATCGTCGCCAACAATTGAATTTGAACATTGATATAGCATTGATTCCAGGCGAGACGAGTTCGAGGAGTGAGAAAGCGATAGCCAGACCAGGGAAGAAAGAGAGGGACTGCAAGATAGAAAGGTCTTTGTGGCAATAACTCAATTGAACGGCGGGCGAGCTTATCGCGAGCCTCAATTATGGCTTGTAAAATTAATAAAAATAATATATTTTATTATTCCATTCGCGCCGTTATCGCTGTGCCGGGAATGCGAATAAATCATGCCGCGAAGATAGATAGTCGCATTGTCGACTTTAAGAAGGAATAAGTGATTTGTTTCAAAAACAAAAACGCTGCCAGGCAATTATTTGTTAAGAGAATATTTGCATACTGCAGTTAAGTGCAGTTACTTGGCTGCAGTTTCTGAGAGTAAGTTGTCATAGGACTGGGGAAAACATCGATGTTTATATTTAACGAACGTTTGCATATTTTAATAAATCTATTTAGCAATTCTTGAGGTCTTTGAATAAAATATGATGACTGGGAAACAATAAAAACTTAACATAAATGGTCTTTTAACTACGTTTTTACGGCTTTTGTTTAACTTATTCCTAATGGTTATTACTTGTGTGGGAATATTTTGTTAAGTCATTAATTATGAATGCAGTATATGCCTATTGGGCTTACTTTGGGGTCAAAACTATTGGAAAATATCAACATTTTCCAGCCAAATAACCTTTCCTTTGGCGATCTCTCAATTGTAATCCAAAACCAAAACAGAAAAAACCACCACAGCAGACTATGCAGAGTGGCAACTGAAACTCGGTGAGTTAATTACTTGTCAAACAGCGGCTGTTAGTGCTGTAAATTGCCCGAATGACTCCGCTCAACGCCAACGCCAGTGATTTATTTACAAAACAAACACCAGAGGATCGCCAGTGGTGGAGGGGAAATCCGAAAGGGGGCTTGGACCCGCTCGAATATCAAACGATCTGTGACGCCAAAAGCTGGACCGTGGCACGTACTTCTCTGCCACCGAACTCCGGCACGAACGCTCCGATTTCATTCCAGGCCCAAAGACCAAATACCAAAGACCAGAGACCGGAGACCGGAGACCGGAGGACCAGAAGGAAGGCCTTCGGTCCAACCAGCCAGACTATTGGGACATTGGCCGCAATGTTTGTCCAGTGGTCGCAATTAAACGGCTTGCAATTACATGCCAAGCCAAAAACAAGGGGTTGCTTGTTAATGTCACTGGGGTGGGAGTGGGACCACTGTGCGTATGCGCAATGCTAACAGTTAAATGGCTGAATTCGTTTGCCAATCGATAAACATATTACTGTGATTTGTAAAAGGAGATAAGGCAGTTGGGTAGAAACTTAAAACTTCTATAAAAAGTAATTTAGGAGTAATAACTTTATGATTAGGATATCAAATTAAACAAGAAATGTAAAACATACACTTTTATACCAACTAGATCTCCACCCACTGCCATTACTTATGAAACACTTTGCTCAATTAGACATTACAGTCAAAAACTAATTGTAAATTGCCTCTCCGAACAGTGGGACCCACTTTAATCACGGAAACAAACTAGCCGCTGAATTAATAAACACACTGTGGTTCCCTATTGTTATTCGACGACATGCCTTCGGATTGAAACCCCAGCTAATGGGAAGCGCCATTAACTCAAGTGAAATGTGAATGGCCATATATAGAGGGAATCGGGATGCGGAATGTGAATGTGAATGCCGATTAATGACCGGCTATTGTAACCAGCAATTGACAGTGGCTACTCGTGTTAGCCGCTGCCCTTGTCGCTTGTCGAACTAATTAAACGCGGTGGTGATTCGCCAAACAATCAACGCCATTATCGGGGCCATAAAACGGGGATCGTTCGGTAGTGGCCACCGCAACATTACGATCGTTATGCACGGCACAAGACCACGCGTAAAATCGTAAATAGATCATAAAACGCCCATAAAAAGACATTTAACGAGGCCCAGAACAACGGACCCATCGCAGAGCGTCGGATCGTACAAATCGATCAATCGAGCTCAGCTTTGAGTGAGTTTTTCTCTGACAGTGAGTTAGGACCCCAACGTAATCAGACAATTGTTATGGACAGCAGCAGGTTGGATTTTGGGGGGCCCAAAACAGGACGGATGACGGTGATTTACGATCTTGGCCGAGTACTTGACCGGCATGGTTGAGTTATCGCTGCAACTTTCACGGAGTTTGGCCAAATTAGCATTGAGAGCGAGCAGTTGCCGGATGTCTAAACCTTTCGCAGACCTTTGTCTGTCCTCGGATATTTGCCAGAAAATGACTCCGATCAACAAAGGAAATTGCACAATGAATGGGCCAGGGAGAAGGACAAAGAGTGAGGGATTTATGACAGGACAGCAGGAGTCATGTGACGAATGAGTACGAAGGCAGATTGCAGGCGGCATTTTCTGCATTCTGTGGAAGAGAAGGGTTTCCTAAGCGGGTGAAAGTCGTCGGTCTTAAGCAGGTAAATCATATTTTTCAAGGCCATCTCACGGCGGGCACTAAAAAACAGCCTCTTTGCCGTCATATTCCACGGCTGGTTAGAACCGATAACCCATTGGCTCAATGCCAGTCGGGATATTAACTTCAAGGGTTTCCGGTTAATTGCGGTACTTACCGTTGAAATCGCCGCAAACGACACGCTCGAAGGGGCTTCCCATCCAGTCTGAAATGGCAGAAAGAGAGAAAAGGGAAAACAATTAACTTTTGGTTTTTCTTGCAATATTTTTTTTTCATTTTAATAACTAAGGAGTTGTGCTCCCCATATGTGCCACTAATGCGAAATTCCGCGCCAAACAGCCTTGAGCGCATCCCGCTGAGTAATGGAGCGACGATCCCTCAAATCATCTATGACCACTGGCCGCCCCTCGGACATTCGTGCCACATGGCAGCTTTCATAAACCACTCAATCGGGTCGTTTTCAATTTAGTTGTCAGCGCCAGCCACAAAAAGTGGAATTAGCCGGGCCACTGCAGTCGGCAGACGGCAGTCAGTGGACCACCGGGCGAGTGAACCTCTGGCCAGTTAAACCGGCTCCGACTTTAAGTAGACCACGATGGTCGAGTTGCAGGAGGAGGAGGAGGAGATGGCGGAGATATGGAGAAAATATATGGAGGGATAGATGGCTGCGGGCCAACGACCAGACCAACCCGACCGACTCCTCCTAATTAATAAGCAGATGAAGCTGCTCGGCATCGTTGGCGCATTTTTAATTAAAATACACAAATTTCTGTGCATTGGCCTGTCGTTGTTGCCACTTTATTTGACACGCGGATGGACGGACAGACGGACAATCTCTAATATGTAAGAGATTCTGCAGGCTGAGACTTCTTTGTCGCATTGATGATTGCACAATTTATGGGCCAGACGCTTCTTATCTTGCCAAGGCAGTGTTCTCAGTACACATAGGCAAAATACAAATAAAGATAGCTCCCAGCTAATGGAAATGTCATGGAAATTTATAAATTAATAAGCAATCTGGTAAATCAACTTTTCTCTTAAGCTTTTATTTACAACTTTATCTTTAACTGGAAACTTATAAAACTTGTCATTACTTTATTTCTCAACAGCTACTTCATCGCTTACCAAACCTGACTACTATCTCTATTTTTTAAAAATTAAATTGGCATTATTAATAATTGCTTTTCCTATTTCCTTTCAGTGTACCTTTTCCCCTTTTCCTTATCCATTCCCCACTCTCTCCACAGCACGTGCTGAGTTTGCGAATTCGCCGAGTGGAAGACGATGGGAAAAGCTTTTGCCATTTTCATGCTTTGTCGGGCTGCGCTTTTCCAGATAATTAAGAAAAGTTAACCTCTTTGCTTTCTTATCAGCATAATCAGGTGCAGGCGCGCCGCTCCACCCATTTCCCAGCTTGCCTCCCGCCTTTCCGCCCACCAGCTTTCCTTCTTTTCTGCAACATTGTTGATGTTGCTGCCGGGAGTCGGTGCAACGATGTGAAAATGAAAATTCATTCAGACGCTTTGGCGTAAAATATTAAAATTCATTAGTTAAATTGCATTTGGCAAGCATTCAGCTGTAAAACGTTGCCGTTGTTGCAGCAACAGCAATGCTTGTTGCAGTTGCTGTTGCCGTGGTACGTCCGGGTCTGGGTCTTGGTCTTCGTCTCTCGGTTTTTTTTTTTTTGGGTGGGTTCGCAGGCTTGGCAAAGTGAAAGCCAAGCGAACCGACTTTTCCAAAGGAGGAGACGCGATTCTTGTACGATTCACATGCAACTGCCTTGCTATAGCACATGTATATATATATATATATATCTGTATATGAACAACTTTATGTATAGTGTGTGCATTTAAGGAGTGGAGGATAACGGGGGGCTGCGTCGACGTGTCGCGCACTTGGCTGCCATAATGGCGTCATGCTCGTATTTACTTTCATCGCCGCCAGTCGCGTCTCTATGATCTCGTTGACAATTTTATCGCCTTGGCGCTGTGAGCGGGAGATATGCAAAATATTTCATTGTGCGAAATACCGTTTATCTTCCCAACCGGCCGATGCGATGGGTTTTTTTATTTAATATTCTTTTTTTACCCCGTCAACAGGTTTGGCCTGCAGAATGTGTGTATCTATCAGTCGGCCAAATAGGTGTGTTAGCCACAAACTTATTCATATCTTTTGGGTTCTCATCGAGCGAGAAATACCACTAAAATGTAGGAATTGATTTTTAATCTGCATAGATTAATAAGAGCGCTGGTTATCGGTTTGGTGACACCCAAAAGCTGGCTAATATGCAAATTAGAAAAGCTAAAAATCTTACTTAATATCTTACAGGCTTGTAAACTGACTTTCCTTTGAGTATTTCTGATTTCCCTCTTCATAACTTAGTTCAGTGTTAGATAAACTCAGAGCTAATAAGCTCCTACCTTGTTGCCTGTTATTATGCCATTATTAAATGTCTGTCTACTAGATCGTCGATTAATAATTACTCATACTGTTTAATTAACATGCCTGGGCAGTAAATTCAAGCGAAATGCCTGTGATTCCGAGTAAATCCATCGACCAATCTTTTCTCTATTGCGGCGACCGATGTGCAGTCTATAACTCAGGCCAATTGACAGTCCATTCGTATGGTGTCTGCCATTAATCAGGAGGCATTCAACCCGCAGTGGCAGTGTGGAAAACTGAATTCGTTCGGTTTCTTCTTCTGCACTGTGGAAATCGAGTGGATGGCTGGATGCCTGGCTGGTTGGCTGACTGAGAAATGATAAATAAATCTGATGTGCAAAAAATGAGCGGAAAAAAGGCGAACGGATCGCGTAAATTAAACTGACCCACATAAATTTGAGGCGAGTTCGCTGGTACTACGTTAGCCGCATAAAAAGAGCGCCAACCGAAAAGTATCTGTATCTCTGTATCTTTGTATCTGTATCTTTTTGGCGGATATCTGGATTTCGTATGCGCGGGGCACATATCCCAGCGGTTGGCTGTGTTTGGGGGCAACCTTGAGGCTATTTAAATTACAAATCGACGCGCCAAACAACACGACAGACAAGAGAAGCATTTTTCAAACTATTTTCATTTTTATTTACTGCCAACTTTTTAGCTCTTCGTTCATTTTCGCTCGTTTTCGTTTTGGGTTCGAATTCGAATAGCGCTGGAAGAAGACTTATGCGAAATAAACGACTTGGAAGTGCCCCGCAAAGTGTTCATTATGGATTGGAATTGGAGGCGGAATGGCGCTGGAAATGGGAATGCTATCGGAAAATGTTTGCGCCACGTTTATCTATTGTTTATATGAGCTGGGGTAATAGGTGTAGCCGCTACTACACTTGGAAAAAGTTTAAAGAATTTTAAAGAAAGATTTTCGATGGAGAGTTTATTTTATGAAAGCTCTACTATGGGGACTAAGTATCAAGATTGCATCTATCAGATGAAAATTGAATTCATTTCAAGCCAAATTTATTTAGATTTTGTATTCCGATTTCTACAATTCATTCTTTTTAAGTGTACTTGGCCATGATTTATATCCACGTACACAAAACTCTAAGAGATCGTTTCGTAGATCGCGAGGCAAATTCATTCTTCATTTAAGATGATATACATTCCGTGAAGTACTTGGTTTATTTCTGATTTTATAATGATTGGATTGATTTATTTTACCAAAAGGTAAGTGATAGACTCTTGATTTCAGATTGAGTTTATATGCCGCAGTGTAGTTAATATATGTGCTGTGAGTAGAGCTGTTAAGTGATTCTTGACCTAAGTCGTTTTTTATTCCTTCAATTAGGAAAGGAGTACATACGTTATAAATAGTAAACATTTTCATGATTTACAGATCAGAAGCTACAAGAAATGATTCAACAAACTACCAATCCTTTTCTTTCCCTCGTAATTTAAATTCCATATATCTAAAATCCAAAATGAAATCTCATATAGTCCCAATCTCCATGACTTTTCAGATACATTTTTAAACTGCATCTCGAACCCCTTCTTATGCCCAAAATTCCCCCGAACTGCATTTTTATCGATCGTTGACTCACCTGTAAGCGTCATCCAGGGATACCTGGGCAGATCGGCGATACCGGCTCCGCCCGCTCCCCCTGCCCCTGGCATCACGCCGGATGCGGGCTGTGTGCAGGCATTGCCTAGAGAGTCCACGCCGATCGCTCCGGCACTGGCTGCCGATACCGCTGAAGCGGCGGCGGTGGCATGTTGATAGAACTGAGCGAACTGCGCGGATGCCGAGGCAGGTACGCTCATCGACTGGTAGCTGTTCATCACGGTGTCTGTGTACCTGCTGCAGGTGAGAGAGAGAGAGAGAGGGAGAGAGATGGACATTAGTACGGGAAGAAGGAAGACAAGATTCCTACGCCTACTGCCATTACGACTCCTACTCTACCAGCCAAAAGTCAAATGCTAATGAGCTGGCTATTTGCATTCCCTTTTCCAACTGCGGTCGCCTCTAATTGCACACTAATCCCAAACACGCCCACGCACAGCAGGGTTCACTGTACACAGTAGTACTAATATGCAAATGGCCGCAGCGGAAGGTCAGCGTGTGTGCGAATCTCGTGGCCGGCGACAAATTGCCAGTGGCCACCGCAGGCTGCTCTAATTTTCCGACTTTATGGCCATTCAATATGAATGGCCGCCGTTGGCTGAGGGGAAAATGGCCAGGGTACCAGGTCCTCGGCACCCGATAATTAGAGCTCATTCGAAACGGATTTGCGGTTTTGTGGTCTTTGCTGATTTTACTGAAGGCATTGTCGGCTGGCATTTCCGCTTGCCAAAATTGAGAGCATGCAAAATGAATTCCTGGAAGCTGACTCAAGGTACCTTTTCCTTATTTTGTATGGCAGAAAACTAAGTGTTTTTTAGATTAAATATTTGATGTATAATTTGTTAATATTAATCAAAGGGTACAAATGATTAAAGAAAGAACACTTGAAGAATGTTTAAAGTGGCCCTTTTATTCTTTTGAAATGAAAAACCGACTAGGAAGCATTTTGCATATCTATAGATAAACTTACTACTTACTTATTAGTAAGAAATCGATTTAAGAGTTTTCTTTTATAAGATTTTGATTCTGATTCTGATTCTGATTCTGAAAGATGGATTGATTTTGGATTTTATGATTGAAGAACCAAAAAGAACCGATATCCTATCTGTATCTCATATAAACCTTATTTATTTCATTATGGTATAGAATATATATCAAACCTATCAAAAACCTATCAAAAAACCTAAAAGAAATGGCAACTTACCTGCACGATTTGTCCTCCAGTCCTGTGAATCCTGCCATTCCGGAGAGTCCTCCATGGCTGCTGGGGTGGTTCGACACGTAAGGATACATCTTGCTGGTGGGGATGGCAAACGAAGAGCTGGCCGCAGCGGCGGCGGCGGCTGCAGCGGCGGCAACGGAACTGGCCGCAGATGCGGATGCGGACGCGGATGCGGATCCGGGTGAGTTGTCGTTGAGGCTGCGGTGCAGCGAAGAGCTCCCAGAGGCCGAAGGGGACGGTGAGCAGCTGCTGTCACCGGCTTGCGAATTACCAGCCGACGGGGGAGTTAGCAGTAGTTGCTGGTGGGCGTGGCCGTGAGAGGCGACGGCAGCGGCGGCTAATTTGTTGATGTGGTGTTGTTGTTGTTGCAGCTGAAGGGCGGCGGACAGCGATGAGTACTGGTGGTGCTGCTGTTGCTGGTGGTGCAGATGTTGCTGCTGCTGGTGGTTCAGGTGTTGCTGCTGCACCTGTGGGTGGTGCTGTTGGAAGGGCGACGACGAGGAGACCGGCGAGTGGGGCGACTGGCCCAGATGCTGGCTCAAATGGCTAGGAGAAAGAGAACCTCCGCTCAAATTGAGATTGCTGTTGTGATTGCTGCTGCTGCTGGGGCTGCTGCTGCTGTTATTGTTGGTGTTGCTAGTGGCGTTGTTGCTGCTGCTGTTGTTGTTGTTGTTGTTGCTGTTACTGCTGCTGCTGCTGGCTGAAACGCTGGCGGAGGCAGAGGCGGCGGCGGCGGCTAGGGCGGCGGCAACTGCTGCAGATGACGAATTCGGGGGGGTGGTGGTTAGGTGGTGCGAACTGATAAACGGCTGGAACTGTGGATACTTTGGCAGCATACTATCGAAAACAAATTTTGACATTGCACATATTTTGCTCTCTGGCCGAGGATCAAATCTTCGGAATTTTGTTCAGTCCACTTTCTTAGTTCTTTTTTCGTTTTTAGTTCGAGTTCGATTTACTTATCTTAGTCGTTTGGTTAATAACTAGATGGGGGATTTGGTTTTTAGCAATTTAAGCAATTTTAATGTGTGGCTTTAACAAATTTTGTTTGAATTCAGCGGAAGGAAAAGCGCTTTCAAGCCATGATAGTTGCTACTAATTTAAGTTAAGTTTAATTTTAAATGAGATCTACAAGGAATATCTTTTTAATGTCTTAAAGGAACTTGAAAGGACTAGAGCCTGACTGTGACTAAAAAAGTTATAGGATGATTGAAACTTTAACAAAATACAAAAAGATATCTCTAAAAGTTAAAAATCCTTTTTGTCTCCAAGTTTGGGAGATTTATAGCCCATATTTATGTCTAATCATATCAACTTTAGTGGCAAATCACTTTTAAAATCTCGTTCCCCTTCTTGAAGAGACTTTACTACCTTATAATCAAAACTACAATGGAACATAAATCACTCCCCAAATTGATCGAATTAAAATGTACTAAAAGCGAAAATAAACTCGGCCAAAATGTGATAAACAAAAAGGAGGCAGGGAAAATAAAAAATGTATACTGCTTAGAGAAATTACTCGGAAAACATAAAAAGAACATTAGCCAAATTGAATATGTTTAGATTGAACATAAATCTTTCTGGTGGCGTGATACAGAACTCAAGTGGAAAACATATATAATCCTCATTTTCTATATATAATATTGAGATAGATTTTCCTGCACAATGCCAAAGGGTTAGTAGGGGCGTTTTTCGGAGTTAAACTCGAATTAGTAGACTAGATGAGATGGCAAATAGTTAGTAGCTTTTTAGATAGATTCAGTGAGATAGAGTTGGGAAACTTTGCCAGCTGCTCGACTTTAAGCTACTTTTCTCGTTTCGGAGAAGTGAAATGCATTTCGTTACCTTTCTCGGGTTTTCTCTAGCGAACTTTTGGCGAGCAGCTTGTACTTGCAGCTTTTCTGCTTCAGTTTTCTTTCTCTTTGTTATTTCGCTCGAAGCTGGCGAATTCACAACGAAATTTGTTAAATTTGCATATGGTCTCGGGTTGCTTTGTTGCTGCAGCTGTGGCACAAGTGTGTGTGTCTGTGTGTTTTGGGGGTGTGTGTTTGTGCCTTTTATTTGTTGTAAAAGCAATTAAAAATCGGCCATCAATTACGCGGAAATTCGAATGGACGTTGTGCCGGCGGGATTCCGTACGTGTGATTTATAGGCGCGCGATCTTTTTTAATGGCACTCTTGTATTTTTATGGCAGAGTGAGTTTCCCTGCGGCTTTTAACGACTTCTCAAGTGTGCGTGAGTCAGTTGGCGTGTGTGCGTATGTGTGTGGCCGGAGAAATGCTTTCTCCCAACGTTTTGCTTTAATTACTTTGTTTAAAATACCATAAAACACTTTGCAGGTAGAACTATCGAACTCTGGAACTCTGGAACAAGCGAACCTTTTTACGATGTCAACTTTATGGCTTTTTAATTTTTATGCACCGCACACAGAGAGTTATAAAAACCGAGTGTTTTGACAGTTTTTCCAGTTTGTTTTTTCTCTGGACTTTCAGTACAGATTTTCACACACAATTTTATTATATTTTATGCGGTCTATAACAGTTAAGTGACAATAAGCCGGCGGCCGAAGCGGAGCGGTACGGAACAATAAACACGGCGAATCGGAAACTGAATCGTACGGTCGTATAGTTGTATAGTCGTATAATCGTATAATCCGAATCGGAATCGGAATCGGAGGGCCGAGAATCCAAAGAGTGGAGAGCTGAGTTCCGCAGACACTACTGCGCGCCACGATAATAAATATTATAATAAAACGAAATTTTTAAAAGAGTATAAAAATTTCGTGTAATTGGTAATTCTTGCTGCCGGCGCGGGCAGCGACGTTGACAGCGACTGCGACGACAGAGAGCGACAGCGACTGAGGCGCTTTGAGTCCGTTGGAGACTTTGAGTTTTGTCTGTCTGCAGAGGGGGGTCGGCGGCCGGGTTTTCCTTCTTTCTTTATTCGTTTCTGTTTTTTTTTTCTTTCTATATAATATTTTTTTGGGGAGACCGCTTTACGCGCGAGAAGAGAAGCGAAAGCGAAGGCCGCTGCGAAACGTCGAGCGTTGTGGCGTTACGAGCAGCGAAACGTTTATGGCGCAATACAAAAGCCATGCGAGCGTTCTTATGGGCAACTGGATGCTGAGTTTGTGACAATTCACTTTGGCTCACTCATTCGCCGGGAATCACTCAACGTCGACTGCGGCAGCGGCGGCAATAAGAAAGATGGCAGCGCAGTTAGCTCCTATGGCTGTCTCGCTCTTATCCCCTGTGCACTCGAGCAAAGCATAGCCATGGCTCTCGCGCCTTCTCTCTCATTCGCATGATGGCCGCCTCGCCGCGCTTTGAGTGAGTTATCTTGCCCGTTTGAGTGCCTTTTAAGTGCTCTCCTAATTTGCCGCTTTATAACGTGAGAATGTCCCAGCTGAGTGAAACTATTTGAGCCCCGCTTTGAGTGCTATGATTTTTTAAGTGTTTTATGCTTTGTTTGGCAAAATGTTATTGTTGATTAAATTGCCCTGCATTATTCGTGTTGAGTGCGCTGGCTGTGAGCTCTGAGTGAGTGCCTTTCGATACAAATTAGCCGAAATTTGTATTTCATTTTTTTATGGGCCCACCCTCTGCTCTCTATTGGCATTACGAAAAATCCATAAATTTCGAGAGATGAAAAACGCCGACTCTGCAAAATGTTTTTTCGGCCGCCGCCGCCGCCTTTTGTCCGCCTTTCTTTTCTCTCTTTTTCTTTCTGTCGCTGGAATTGCTGTTATGACATTTTTATGAAAAATTTCAAATTTACGATTGAAATTGGACAGCACACAAGCATCCTCCTCCCCTTCGCTCTATCTGGCTTCCTCCTTCGTGAGCGCAAATATGTGCGGATATAAAGCGAATCTGCAATTTCTTAACTTCTCCACTTCGAGAACTTTGCAATCTGACATTTCAAAGGATTTTACATTTGGAGTGAGAGAGAAGAATGGGCAGAGATTGAGTGAGTCAAATGCTAGATTAACATAAACTTTTTTTATTATTTATCAAGGAAAATGCTATAAGAAATGTAAGAATATTTATTTTAAAAATTCTACTTAGTCAGACCTTAATAAGTAAATTCGATTTACTTAAAGTTTTTTAAATAAAAATTATTAAATGTTAGTAAATAATATTATAATTACCATTCATCGACTTAACTTCCAAGAAAATGTTTCTGAAAAATATGCTTTTCAAAAATATTGAATGAAAATCATTTTAAAATTTATGGTATGTAATGAATTTTTTATTTTTGTGTTAAATTTTCACTTCTTATTTTTATATCTCAAAACATTAATAGTAATTTAACGATATTTATGTTTTTCTTAGCCTAACATTTTTATTTATTTAAATGGAATTTTTCTTCTTTACTCACTTAATAGTTTAATGTACTTCCCTGTAGCTAATTCATTTTTAATTGACTTTCGCGTACTTTTGCGATTGCCAAATCTTGGGCGATAACAATTGAATTGACGATCAATCAGCGGATTGGCTAAACAATCAATTTTTGGCACACTGGCTTGTTAAATCTTTTATGGCCAAGGGTGGGCAGAAACGGCGTTAACGGCCCGGCGAAGGCTTTAAAATTAATTGCTCATAAATTCCAAATTAAACATTTTGCCACACTTTGGTTTATGTTTATGGGTCATACGGTGAGTGCGAGTGAGTGGCCAACATGGAGTGCACTCGATCTCACTGAAGCACTGGGAGAAATTATTGTCTATTACTACCTATATATATATTTCTTAGGCATTAACTTTGATATTTGAAGTTGTTTACATTTATAGTTCATAATTTATACATTCAAGGCATATTTTTTAATATTAAGTACATTATATTCGTTATATACGAAGATAAGTTAACTTTCCCAAGTAACCAATCAGCTAATTATTACTTCATGTTATTTTTTTAGTGCACATCTGCCCAGATACTCAGCCACTCACAGCGGGCTGTGATTTACTGCCCTTGCCCCAGGGCTATGGATGGGATATGGGCTATAAGCTGTGGGCCCGTGGCAGGTGGGCCGCCCAACGACCGGAAAAATGTAAAACGCCCATTTTGATAATCAAAACAAATAATAAAACAACTTCACACGTTAGTCTGACACAACTACTGGTGCAACAATAACAGAAAACAACAATAACGAGCCAGCGAGCCCCATTAAGCGATAATAATCGTAATAAACATATAAAAATTGAAATTGGGTGAGAGTGAGTGAGCAGCGGAAAGTGCAGAAAAAGTGTAAATAAATAAAAGAAGCGTAATTTTCAACAATAAAACACTATTTTGAGTTCCCCCCCGGGGGAGGGAGAGTGTCGAGTTTCGGTTGAGTCGAGTTGCGTTGCGTTGAGTCGGGTTTTTTCTGTTCAGACTTCGGTGGAGGAGTGCGTGGGATTGCGTGTGATCCTCGGGACCGTTAAACAAAAGCGGAACAAACCATAAAAGAAACAGCTCCGTTGTAATCTCTCGTGCCACAGGTGGTATCTAAAACAAAATAGGCATAAAAAGAAGGAAAACACTTGTAAAACAATAAAGGCAAAAGTGGCTAAAAAAAAGTTAAATAAAAATTTGTGTAATTTAATAGTTTGACAGGCGACAAATAACCTTTTTTATAGGTACATAATTTGTAACTTAAGAACTATTATATTAAACATTTTAAAATAGATCTGCTAAAGACATATCTGATAAACATATTCGGGAAACATAGTCCTAAGTTTGTTGTATTTTAAAGCATATTTAATGCAATTTTTAAGAATACTTTTGACTGTTATAAATATTTTACACTTTACAAGATATTTTGTACTTCATTCTTTTGGAAAATTGTCAGGGTTTATATTAATGGATACTTTAAACTACATTTTTGTATATATTTCCAAACATTTTTCTTATATTTTCTGATTTTTGAGCTTGCTTTTCCAGCTTACAATTGTGATTTTCTTTTATAGTTCATAGTAAAAATTAAAATAAATAGCTCTTGTATAATAAATATTATTTGAAAATGAGTATTTATGAAGCTATTATTCCCTCTGTTTCTTTCATATACATTTGTTACCCACAACCCACTCTGTAGGCCATAAACACGACACAACATGGCCAAAAAAAAAAAAAAAAACGTTGGACAAACACCACACACTTATGGGTGCATTCATGTCGCACTCGAAAATCCATTCGTTGAACAAGCTGGCAGCCAGTTTTCCTTTCGTTGGTTTCCCACAAAACCCGGCAACTATTGCCATTGCGAGTGCAATTCGGCGCTGAGTGCGGATCGTAAAAGCCGCTAGAAGACAGGAGTAATTGCCCATAAAAAGACTGTAAAGTATTTCGGCTCAGAGGCGAGTGCAGCTGGAGGAGAGTGAGTAATGAGACCGGAATCAATTGTCACTCGCCATAAAATCAATGGCATTGAGTGAGTCTTGCAGCGAGTGAAAACTGCGGCTCAGTGGTGGAAATGAAAACAAAACATCAAGAAAACAATGAAGAACTCCATGCACATCAAGTTTGTTCCCTAATTTGATACACTTTTATAGCCTCGGTTTACGGCTTGTTTGGCCGCCGCGGTTTCCCCGCCCCCGATCAGCCTTCATCTGACGAATGAGCTCTTCCGACGATTACTAAATGCCTTCTCACGCAATCATTTTTTAATCCCCGATGCGGTCGGGTTTATGGGTCACCCCGAATCTGGGTCTCCGTGTCATCGTCATCTGCACGGCAGCGATCTCGAGTCACCTCCGAATTACTCAATAAAATTTATACGAGTGCACACCTAATGTCCTCTCGTCCGTCCTTTCCTCTACTTTTATTGCCTTTTAATTGCACTAATGATATACTTTTTTGTTAACTGCGCAATCAATAAATACGTATGTTTATAGATTAAAATGGGTGTAAGGACGATGTACAGGGCGTAAGTCTGGGGAATGAACATATTTTCCACTTACCATTTTTGCAGATGGTTTATAATCTGAAATTAAAAGAAAAAAATCTATAAATAATAATTGGGATCTTTTTGAAAGTCTAATTTACATATCAGGGATTTATAAAGCAATGAGCTTTTCGTGAGGAATATTTTGGAGATCCTCAACGAAACATATTTTACTTCATCTGTCATGAATGCAGTCATTTCTGTACCCTTTTTGATAACACTGTTTTGTCGCACAGCTTTACTCCTATTATATTATATATTCTACCTTGTGCTTGCAAATTATATAGGATGATCAATGGAAAACTCCATATGGGAATCTTAAATATTTGGCTTATTTCTCTGCACAGAACAGGGCTACAAATAGTCCGACTGTGGAATATAAAGTCTCGTTAAATTCATATTTTGATTTCTAATCGATTGGCATTTTAATGCAAAATAATTGTTTGGACATTTTTTGCAAATAATTACAATGGGTACATCTTGTCAAAAATCCGACGAAAATGGATAGAACGGTTTAGTTTTGGTCGTAAGCCGTTCAAATCAGTCATTGACTAAGCTGTTCGCCACAATTTGGCTATTTTATAGGTTAAAACCCTAAGAAATAGATGGCAAATGTTGGTAAAAATTCGTTATTCTGATTTTTGCCACATAAAAAATGTGGAAAATATGGGATATTTTACCTAGTTGAACTCGTAAATAAATTTCTAGAAGATTGGCTTTCACACCTAAAAATATCAACTTTTATTCTTTTTTCTTAAAAATATGTTATAAGATAATGCCCCTTATCAGAAAAGCAAAGACGGCTATCAAACTAAATTTTTCAAATCCGCTGCAAGTGGATATCGTAAATTTTGGTCGTTAGATTCGCAAAGGAATCGTTCACGGAACTTTGCTTCTTGTATTGACCAACTAATAGGTTAAAAACCTAGAAAAAATATTCCAAAAGTACTCAATAATCAGTATCTCGATGTTGGCTAATCCTGTCGAATCTTGAGAAGACTTTGTAATAGTGCCTGAATATGAAATGAATAAAACGAAAACTATTAAAACACTAAACAGCTTTAGAATTTAATTAATTTAAGGGAAAATGCTTATTTATATGCATTCAGGGCTTAAATATTTTGCTAATAAAATTAAAAGAATCTTTTATTATCAAGGTTTGAATACTATTTTTATCCAAATTTCTGAAGGTCCAGAAAATTGAAGGCAAATTAGTTTAGTATCTCCCCCTAATGTTTTCCTTGGCCGTGGCTAACTGAATGATATTCGACATCCCATCGCTGTGTTGTCGTCATCGACCGGGATGACGAGCGTGTTTTATAGGCCTCAACAAGACATTAAAACACACGCATACGCCCCGTTGGCGAGGGGAGGCCATTATGATACCTGCGGCGGTGGTTTTTCAGTTTTCCAGCTTTCCCCCAGCTGGAAAAAAGGCGGAAAAGCGAACTGCAGGGCGGGTGGAGGAGGAGGAGGAGGAGGAAGCGAGTGGGCCTCAGATGGTCTCTCTCTTTCTTAACTCGAAAGATGGGCGATGATGGGCTCGCTGCGAAAGGAGATTTCAATATCATAAAAAATCGTATTAAGAGAATCTCATATTGGGAATCGTAAAGTTTTTACGACCGTTTAATGGACTCTTGCAGTAAGCGTGAGTATTTACGCGCTGCTTAAAAGCGGTAAAATATGGCCAAGTGGTGTTGTGGGACAACAGAAACGCAGGCGCACGCACCGCTAAGGATGCGGATATAGATACAGATGCGAAAATGCAGATGTTGCAGATGGAAAACTTCAATTAGAGACAAAAAAGCGGGTTGTCCGTTCAATTACGAGTAAATGTCGCTGATGGCCAGGGCACAGCGGCGCCATCTGCATGCTGTTGGCTGAACCGCTAACCAGTTAACGGCCTTCAAGCAGTGCAAGCAGTGCTCATGCGTCCTTACTAATTTCGTCCAAGGGGGTGGGTCACTCAAGCAGTTCAAAGGACATTCAAAGGAGGAAAATTCAGCAAAGATAGAGATAGCTTAGGTTTTTCGCCGTGGGAAAGAGAGGTCTGATAACGATCGTTATTGCCAATAACTGGGCGTGGCTCGTAATTGCGTTATTATTGGATAAGAGGCTGGCAAAGGACATACGGAACAGCCTTTCTTTAAGTGGCAAGTATACAGAAGATGTGGGTGTGGCAATGTAGAAGCAGAGTGATGGTGGGATAGCACTTAGAATTCTCAGTTTTGCTTAGAAGCTACTCGGAGGATTAAATAATAAAAGATCATCGCAAAACGACATACTTTTCCGGTAAAACTAAAGTCAAAGTTTTATCCTTTCGGTTTTGTTCGGAGAAGAAAAGCTTGGGTACCTCATATGGATATCCTATTTATTGCTATCATTCTTTAATAAATTATTAAAAATAGTCTTTAAATCCATCTTAGATTTAACATTAAACTTTCAATTTCATTGCTTGCACAACTTGATGGATGTCTAAGCTGGTTTGATGGATAGGAAATGACCTCAGAGGCGATTGGCGAAGGAAAAGACTAGCATATCCTAATAGGTACAACCATTCTATTAATCATTACTTTCCGTATTCAAAAAAACGCAGACAGTGCAATCGATTCGATGAATCTAGTCGGTGGAAATCTCAGGCCATGTCAACAAGTGCTAGCTCGGCTAACTGGGCTCATTGGATGCCATTCGTAGGTGCAGTCACGTAGAGCGATCTATAGACTTTGCTGGAAGTGTGGTGACAACGACCCGACGACTTCATTAGACGCGGCCATACATCAGCCGGTGGCAAGAGTTATGTGACTGCTGGAAAGGATTTCCTACAATTTCCACCACTCGGATAAATCATATGCCCAATCCCTCTAACTGCAGAGAGAAAAAAAGTTACTAGGATAGATCTAGGCTTTTTGTAAGTTTCAAAGTGACTTCGATGCTTGTATAGTTGAACCTAAGAAGTATACCTAATATACCTTTATTATTAGTAGGTATTTCCAAGAAAGATGGTTAAGTTGGCTAGCATCTAACATTCTGGTGTGTTTTTCTGCGTGTAGACAGTCGAATAAATCAGAAAGTTCGGGCAGTGCCGCTCGTAAAACGGATTCCGCCGAATGTTTGTTAATTATGGTTTTGCGTAACTCTCGCATTCGTTGGCCCCGGGTCAGAACCACTCGTGAGTGATTTGTATTTGGGCTCGTTAAAGTGTCCAGCGGAATGAAGTGCTGGCCAATGAGTTTCTTCTCAAATGCGGCGGCACGATCGTCGAGCATCTTCGCCTGCATCTCCGGCAAAAGGCACGTTTTCAAATGTAATTTGCAACAATTTAAAGATTTTTGCGCCACACTCGATATGGCCGATAGTCGAATCACTATAGATTGGTTAGACTGGCAATAGTCTTGTTCGAAAAGGGGAGAGGCGCTGTGAAAAGGGGGGCAGTGGCGCTAATTGGGGGAAAATTGAGAAGCGGAGAATCGAAAGCGCCGCATCTGGTTGCGAAATGCGAGCAGTTCGAGAAGTTCAGCTGGCGTCTTCCGAGGGAACATGGAGTTTTCTGGTAATCTTCCGGATTACATTGGAAATGGGCGAGCGATTAAATACGCAACTTGCGGCTTAATTGTCTACTTGGGGTCTTAGGGACTCCCAAGTTTCCTAGAACTTCTAATCATAGAAAAGTTAAATAGTTATTTTTAATGTGTTCCCTCTCTTTTTATTGCATAGAATTTTAATGAGTCGAGGAATTTGTAGGTCAAGAAAGAGCATTAGTATTCGCCATTAATATAATTTGAGATGTATGTTGTTATTAAGCTGATATTAGGTAGAAAATTAATATTGCAAACTCGAATTACAAATTTTTAAGGGTAGCTCCGTGACTAGTATCAAAATGCTATCAGAAATGAATTAAATTAAATATGTTTTTCCACTTAGTCAAGTTAATTTATTGACTTAAGCACATGCTAAAAACATATTAAGTGGAACTTAGCATTAACATTTGCATTTGAAAGTGGCGAAGTTTCAAGGCAAAGCCATCGCATTTAATGTTATTAAAGTAATAGAAATTCCCTGGCCATATCAATTAGTTTAATTCGCTGTAAAGTGCGCCGGCGAACAGCCGATAAAACATGCTCCATTACAAGGGGACTAATTGGGCGCTTAGATCGAATTAATTTGGTATAATGTAGGCATTCAGAGTGAGTTGACCACCGCCGAGCTAATTGCTTAGCTCAATGCGATGTTATTTGCATGTTTCGGTTTCAAAATTCATTTCCGATTCGATTGGTCTAAGTGGGCATAAATAATGGGAGGACTTGGCTCTTGGGGCTCCACTTATGGGCTCTTGCAGTCACTCAGGTGACCTTTGGCCTCGCAATGGGTCTCCGATGAGCCAGCGACAGATTCACACGAACGGAGAGTGGTTTCTGGGGTATTGGGCTGGGGTTGGAGATTCCGTAAACCGGATCAACCACTTTGGCGGTGCAATGGCGGAGGCAAATGGCCGTGATAAGAGCACCGCCTCTGCACCGCCATCGTTTCGGGTTGTCTCGAAGACTTTTGGTTTTCATAAATAGATTGAAATGAGCCTTGCCAGGGCGAAACCCATTTCATCCCCTCGACTGCGCACATCATCCTTTCTCTCCTTGCGCATTTCTCCGGGGCTCCCTTTGTTTGGCTGCCTGAGAAACCCAAAAAGCAAACCAGTTTTTACACTGTAACCAAAGAAGGTTGGGAGATTGTTAGTTTTATCAATAAATATTCTGTATCCTCCTTCTTATCCTTTTTTTAAAATTTTTAAGAATATTTCTTGGAATGTTACGGTTAAGTTAAGTTTAGGTTAAGTTAAAGCTAAGTTAAGGGCTTATGATAAACTTAAGCATTGGAAATAAACAAAAATAATACTTGTTTTTCTCCAAGTGCCTCTTCTGTTTTGACTCATCCATGCGGTCATCGCGGAGGTCGAACTCCTGCCAGCCCTAATGCGTTGTTTTTGTCGTTTAATGCCTGGGTCACAGTCATCCGATTATCGATTGACCGACTTATTGCCGGGC